CCATCTATAGTCACTACTGTTTTGTGGATTGTCATAAATAAAAGTAGTATAGAATAGGATAGTTTTGTTTTAGTTGCTTGAGGGCAAGAAAGAGTTTGAGTTGGGGGTGTTGATGTGCCGTGGAATTTCGGCACAATTGGTACCAATTGCTTAGATTGTAACTTGTCTTTTAATGCATTAGTAGTTAATTCTCATCAAGTTTGGTTGTTTTGTAGTGCACGAGCTTGAATACCCGAAAGCATGGAAAAGAAGTCAAAAAGTCACAAAAAGACGGATATGCTGCAAGTATGCGGTCGCATAACTCACATGCGGACCGCATAATCTACCTGCTGATCACAAACAGAGACGGTCTTTTGGGCCAACTGAAGAAGCAAATATGCAGTCTATTACGCAGTCGCATAACACATATACGAGTCGCATAATGGTCGCATAACCACAATAGAAGGCAGCATGGTATATGCGGTCGCATAATACATTTGCGAACTGCATAACCATTACGTGACTAAAGCCAGATCTGGGATTCAGCAAGTCTGCGATGGAGTGCTCAATGTGCGGTCCGCATAACTGGTATGCGAGCAGTATGCGATCGCATAAGCTGTCTGAAAGGGTATTTTTGTCCGATTTTGAGTACGACTTTTGGTCCACTATAAAGAGAATAACTAGGGTTTTTGTAGGGTATTCAAGTCTGAAACAAGGTCCTACTTAGAGAGCATTGAATACTTCATTTATTTGGAGCTTTATGAAGAAGGAATCTTGCACTTTTGTAAGCTTTATGGCTTTATTAAATGCTTTGTTCTTGTATTGTAGTATGAGTAGCTAGTTTTAAATACTAAGGTTGTGGACCCTAGATGGGTGTAATGTTAATGGGTGTTTAACATTGAATATATATATATATATATATATATATATATATATATATATATATATATATATATATATATATATATATATATATATATATATATAATAGTTGATTGATATTTATTCAATTCTTGTCCTTTATTTATGGTTGGTGGTTGCAAACATTAATCTATTCCATTTTACTCTTTCTTTACATGGAAAAGTGAGTTAGGATTTGGTAGAATTGAATATCAAGAACTCAAGACGTTAACTCTTGTTTAATAGAATCGCTTAGGAATAAGTAGGTTCTACTTGGCATAAGTTGGTTGTTCTTAATTTGCAACTCTTTTTGGGAAAATCATAAATGGAAAATACTACCCAACTATTGGAAAGTATTGGGTAGTCATTTAGAAATCATTTGCATACCAAAGGACCTTCCATTAGAAATATATCATATTAACACCGATAGCATTACATTTCATTTACGGGGACACAACTTTGGTTTCCTTAATCAAATCATTTACATCTCAAAGTTACAATTAGTTATCTCTTTAATCCACAATCATATCATTCTCTTGGTACGTTAACGGAATAGAATTACGACATAAGTCAAGTAGCACACTACTCGAGTAACCTTTTCACGCCTATTCCCTGTGGGATTCGACCCCAACCTTGTTGGGTTACTATATTTGACACAAACTGCCTTACACTATTTAATTAAAGTGTAATTTGAGCGTATCATGGACCAAAGGATAAAAGGAAGCTCACCACTAAGTCTGCCCAGCAAGTATGCTTACGCGCCTGTTGGACCACATGATATACCTGACTGGTACAATTACCACGTGAACTCGAAGCATAACCAGACCACCCTCTGTGATCGCAATTCCTACTCCGTGATCGTGTAGAACAACTCTCCCTTGGCTCCAAACAATACTCTGTGATCATATGCACACCAAACATCAAAAAAATCTGTCAATTTCAACATGTTCCGGATAGTCTGAAACTCAGCCGAGCCAATCGGGCTCCGTTCAATAATACCAACAAGTCTATAAACCTAATCCGGTCCTAAGCGAGATCTCAAAATGCGTAAAACAACATTACAACTAAGAATCATACTCCAAACAAGACTAATCAAATTTTCAAACTTCCAGCTTCTTTCAACCAACTACGAACACGGCAAATTATTGTCACGACCCGGATTTCCCACCCTCGGGGGTCGTGATGGTGCCTACTCGTAGAAGCTAGGCAAGCCACACATCATAAACTCCTACCTATTTTATTTTAAATCCTTTTATCAATCAAAACAACAAGCGTTAAATATTTAAATGACAGCGGAATATGAAATTAAAGCGGAAGACTTAAGTTAAATAAGCTGAACAATAATGCGGAATTCAACATATGCCTCTACCCAAGAACTGGTGTCACATCATCCACGGACTACTAAGAGTGCTAAATACAAACGTTTGAAAGAAATATAACACTGTTTGTCTCGAGAAACATGAGTTAATAGAATGAAATATAAGATAGAGGAGACGCCGGGCCTGTGGACGCGTGCAAGGCTACCTCGGAGTCTCGGTGGACTGAAGGCTGGCTCCCGAACTACTACTGCGTACCGTATGTTGCTCCGGTACCTGGATCTGTGCAAAAGAGCACAGAGTATAGTATCAGCACAACCGACCCTATCTGCTAGTAAGTGCCTGGCCTAACCCCGACAAGGTAGTGACGAGGCTAGGACCAAACTCCAGATAAACCTGTGCGGATATATCAAGACCCAAACCGATGGGCCGCAACGGACACCCGGTACCTTACTCGACCGAGTACCAACGTAACGTATCTTTCTTATTACATCATCATATATACGTTACATACTGGCCTAATTAGCCAACATGCCTTTGTAAACTCAACCTCTCATTAGTATTGTAACTACTAAGATTACTACAGACTTCTCTTCCAATCAGCTCCGTCAACTCAGAACACTTTCTAATCTTTCCATTTTCAATTGGAGCTGTCGAAACACATCCAAAGGAATCCTAAATGAACTTCAATTGCCTTTTTCCCATTATTTTCATTCTCAGATACTAAGACAAATAAAAGGGAAAATAAGAAAACCGTTATAGATATATGTGAGGACAACATTTATAGTTGAACTAAAAATAATGGACAATGACAAGTTCTATAAAATCTTAGGAGAAAATGCCAAAAATTCACTTGTTGTAGTATTTTCTAATGTTTTCTTTCTAAAAGCAATGTTTGCTTTCTAAAAGCAATACTAGCCGTACATTATCTTTAGCCAAATGAGATATACTTATCTGTTTAAAAGTTGCCATCTGGCAAATTAATGAATGAGTCACTTTGCTTGATTTGTATTATTGCCACGTGATTTTCTTATCCCAATCATTTTAAATAATTACCAATTTATCTACATAATTAAGAATCATCTCAACCTACTTAAAATACTACCCACTTTTAACACACTTTATATATATATATATATATATATATATATATATATATATATATATATTGTTTAACCAAAAAACTGAATATTTGGTTAAAGCTAGAATTTAAGAGAGAAATCGGGTTACTGATAATCAAGAAATGAGAGACTTCGAGAAAAGCAATGAATAAGTATATATTTCAGTATAATCGCAATGATATTTCCTGTCCTAAAGATGTTGTGACTTTCTCCTTTTATAGTTAATTCTAAGAGAAAGTGTAATGCCTTTGTCTTAATGAGGCAATTACGAGCAATAAATGACATTAAAAGAAACGTTACTCAATCATTCCTATTAAATACAAATTCTCTAACGTATTTAGCATTTAATGTTGAATTTGGACTCTTTTACGCTATCAGATTCATGTCTTCAATTCCTTCTGATCTTCGAGCTTTAAATGACTCGAACAGGTACGAGTCTCGTTTCATTTGAATAATAGCTCGTGCCTTTAAGTATCTTCTCTCCCGCATCTGTTGTTGCTCGTGCCTTCTAACTGATTACCACGCTTTGACTATTTGACCGGTCTTCGTGTCATGACACGTCATCTTCAATATTTAAATTCAGTTTTTTTCCAATACAGATAGTCCCCCCACTTTCCATTTATTTATCAATTAAATATTTGGGAAGTGGATCTTCATTAAAAAGGGAATTTTTGCCATAATCAATGCTATGACAGTACTAATGCTTCAATTGTCTTTTCTATTTAATGCATTGCATACGTGTCACCTTCTCATTAGCTCTGCAATTCTGCAGCCTTTTTTCAAGGCTTCTTCAACTCCACTATTCACGAAGTGATAGTTGCCTTTATTATAGGCTTTCCATCATTACACTTCTTAGCCTTTGACGGTCGCTTTTATATATAAACTTAACCCTTCTTCTACAAATTTTTACCAAATATTTCACTATTTACTCCTGTTCACATCTTTCTCTGTTCACATCTTTCTACCATGTCATCTTCGAATCCCAACCCTAGGAGAGTCCCAATTCTTGACAGTTTCCCCAATGCCCCTGTGAGACACAAAAGAGGTAGAGGAGGTAGGCTTCGTGGCCTAGGATCCATTCGTGGTGGTACCTCTGGTTCCATCACTCCTTCTTCTAGCTCTGGCACTATTTCTAGAGGATCTTTCACTAATAGATCTTCTTCTAAAGGCAAAGAATCTTCTGAGTCTATTCAAGAACCTTTGGTCGAAGAAATAGTGCCAACCGACTTATCTTTCGAGCATGATAAAGAATCCCTTCGTGACCAAGTAATTAAGTTAGAGAGAGCTGACACCTATCCTTCTTTAATTACTGAACCCTTAATTTCCACTGTTCGAAAAGATTGTCGTTGGAGAGATGACCTTCATATAGTTATTCCTAACCCAAACCAGAGAATATCTTCTTATAGGATTGGTTTTTCCTCTGTTTATACTTATCCCTTTACTTTGGGATTTATTCCTGCTATCGACTCAGTCATACTCGATTTCTGTCATTTTTTCAAAATTTGTTTGGCTCAAGTTGGCACTCTCGTATGGAGAGCAGTAGCTTGTTTAAGGTATGTATCGGTAAATGCTGATGTTGATTTTACCTTCTCTCATCTAATTCATCTTTACCACCCCAAGCTGTTCCGCAATAGTGTTTTTACCCTAACTGCAAGAAGTAAAAGGGTTTTGGTAAGCCCTGAAGATGATAAAGATCGAGGCTGGTACACCCGTTACGTTGCGGTACCCACGGTTGGTTTGGTGGGTGAATCAAATATTCCTTTTCCCGAGAAATGGAACCTTGCACGTAAGTATTTCTTCCTTACCGTATCTGTTTCTTTTTTTTTATTTCAACTCCTTTTCTAATTTCATTCTTTTTTACTTTTTTGTAGCAACCACGGGAGATGTGGAACCCGTTCCTAATTTTCGTGGTTGGGTAGATGCTATTTTGAAGGTCGTGCCTATGGAGGCACGAACCTAGAAATCTATTTCTAACAAACATGGTTGGAAAGTAAAAACTCACGGTATGCGTCCCTTATTGTTTCCCGTATGTTAAATTCTTTCCCCTCTTTTAACTTTTTATCCTTCTTTTTTGTCAGGATTTGCTATTCGAGGAATGTCAGCTGAAGTAGCTATTGCCCTTCGAGCCTCTTTTGGTACTCCTCTTTCTTTGGAGAGAGCACAAGCTACGCTGTCAAAGAGGAAAGTTGTTGAAGAGGATTCTGAGGATGATGAAGATGAAGACACCTCTTTGATAGTTAGACCTAGAGCCAGGAGACGCATCATTTCCGAAGATGAAGCTGAAATTTCTCCTGCCCGTGCCTCCTCTCCTGTTAATATTGTTTCCGATGATGAAACCATTCCAAGGGACACCATTGAATCCACTCAATGTCTCTTCGCTGACGGTTTCGAAAGTGGTGAACTAGGTCCGGTTTTAGATGAAGTTCCTCTTTCCTCTTCCATTCTTATTCCTTCTATTCCTCCTTTGGTTTCAAGTACATCTTTGCCCATTTTATCTGTTCCTGCTTCTTTGCCAATTTCTGCTCCCTTACCTGCTTCGACTCCTGTTGTTTTCACCTCTTCCACCGTTCCTCCTTCTATAGCTCCCCCTTCCTCCGTTCAGCATGCTGAGGAGGGTTCCAGTAGCAGAAGTTTGGCTATGAGGAGTGTAACACTTGAGGTTCCTGCTAATAACAATCTTTTAAGGAAGTCTGGTGGAGCAGATGTCTGGCTTGAGCCTTTAATTGGAGACATTGAGAAGAAGAAGATGGACTGTCACAGTTGCTTAACTTTGATGAATGACATAGTTCATTCTACGTTGAAGGTATTCTTCCTTTACTTTCTAATAAGTTTTTTTTATCTCTAGATTCTTATTTTCATGAGTTGTCTTTGTAGGCCAACCTTATTGGCACGGAATTGATGGGAAGAATTTCCCTTTTAGAAAAGAAGGCCCGTGAATCTGATAAGACTATTCTCGAGGCTGAGAGGGTAGCTAAGGAAGCCCAGCTGGAAGCAACTAATTGGAAGGAACAGTTTAAAAATGCTCAAGAAATGATAAAGGAATTGCAAGAAAGCAACCGTAACCTGGAGCAGCAAAAGCGGACTCTGACTTCTGAATTAGTGAAAGCCAAGACTTCTTCTAGTAAAGCCGAGAAGGACAAGGAGCGCCTTGAGTGTTCCTTTTCAGAGCAATTCTCAAAGTCAAGTGAAGAAATCAGAGAACTTAAGGCACTCTTGAACAAGAAAGAAGAGTATGCAGGAGAGTTAGTACAAAACTTGACTCAAGCTCAAGCTGATTTGAAGATCTCCTCTGATAAGGTTCGTGCATTAGAGAGTTCTCATGGCTCCCTTGAAGCTACCCTTGATTCCACTTTAGCTGAAAATCAAGTGTTAAAGAATGATCTTGCTATGTGGGAAAGGGATTATGAACTTCTTGAGGAGAAATTTAACATAGAGGTGAGTTGGGCTTTTCTAAACTCTCGTCGTGATGCTTTAACTGAGGCCAGTCAAGAAAACTTTGATTTAGAATCGGAATTGGCCAAGGTTTTGAAAACCATTGAGATGACCCAATAACCACTTGACTTTCCTTCTCCGGCAGATGAAGCTCCCGTGGCTGAAGAACCTTTAAATGAAGAAGCCGCTGCTGTGGCAATTGAAGTTGAAAATGTTGCAATTCCAGCTCCCAATGGTGAAACTTCTATGAATCAGTTTGAAGAAGCTGAAGCTTCCGTGACTCTTGCTCCCCTCGATGAATCTAACATTTCAATCCCAGCTGAAACCACTTCTGTTGCAGTTTCTTCAAAAGTTACCGTTCCTGAAAGTGAAGCTGATATCACAACTTCTGATGTTCCAGCCCCTCAGTGACCAGTTTATGTTTTCAAACTTTATTTTTATTTGCTTTGTTGATTGGTGGGTTTATCCCTTGGTCAGTTTTTAGGGATTTTTTTAGAAAAAGTCCCCAGTTATCATAATGGGGCACTTGTAAAATTTTTTTTTGTTGACTAAGTTTTTACTTAAACATGAGGCTTATAAAAGAGGGCCCTTTTATATATCGACACTTAATAAAGAAGACGTCTCAACTTCATAATGGTGTTACAATACGATGAAAGAAATAGGAACACAGATGTTTTGTTTGGAATAACTTTGACAAGTTTTTGAATATTACATGTATTAAAATACATCTATAACTTTCTCGTAACTGTTTTTCTTGTAACAGATTTTTGCAAAATAAATATAATTCAAACAAGGTTTTTCCTTATAACCTGTTTCAGTATATAGTCATGACCCTATCTTCATGTATTAGGAAGGGTTTGAGAGGTGACTCCATTGTTCTCATGAGTTTGAACACTATGATGAATGTTTTGTATCTTTATTTGTTAATGATGAATGCTGAGGTTCCGTAACTTCTGCTCGACACTTGTCTCTTTGTTTTGAGATTTTCGTTTACATATCTATTTTCCCGCACGTATCTATGTACAATATGCAGTCCCCCAAGTGTTTGAGCGGTGAAGTATGAAGCCTCGAGCACTTGGTAGTCTCCTTCACCTGGTCCTTTTCCTGAAAAGGAAATACATACGAGACTCGGAAGTACGATTATAGATGAAGACTGCTTAACCCGTGTATTCTTCTATCAGAATAATTGTAACCCTGGGCCAGGAATTTTAGTTTATTCCATTTTGCCTTGCAGGTCGTGACTCATCATTTAGTACGGGTTAGCGTTTTGCCTATCATCTAAAATCGTTAGTAAAATTTTAACAATTCAAAAACTAATATAATTTAACATGGTGATACCTGACCGTGGGTTTTGCCTTTAGAAGTAGATCTCTTCAAATGAACTGCATTCCAATGTGAAGGAAGCACCTTCCTGTCCATTGTTTCTAACTCGTATGCTCCTTTTCCTGCAATGTCTCGAACTCTGTAGGGTCCTTCCAAGGTTGGACTTAGTTTACCCGCGTTGGCTGCCTTTGTAGATTGAAAAACCTTTTTAAGCACGAAGTCCCCAATTTTGAAGTATCGCAGTCGTGCTTTCCTGTTGTAATATCGTTCGATCACTTGCTTTTGTGCTGCCATCCTTATTAATGCGGTTTCTCTTCTTCCTTCGAGCAAATCAAGGTTCACCCGCATATCTTCATCATTTGATTCTTCCGTTGCTTGAGCATATCGTGTGCTTGGTTCTCCTATTTCAACTGGGATTAAAGCCACCATAAACCATTGAAAATGGTGTTTCTCCCATGCTTGTTTTTGTCGTTGTACGATAAGCCCATAATACTCCAGGTAATACCTCAGGCCAATTACCTTTTGAATCTTGTAACCTTTTCTTCAAGTTGTTGATAATGACCTTGTTCGTTGATTCTGCTTGCCCATTGCCTACTGGGTGATAAGGTGTAGATGTGATTCTTTTAATTTTCCAGCTCTCAAAAAACTCAGTGACATGAGCTCCGATAAATTGAGGGCCATTGTCACATACAATCTCCTTTGGTACACCAAATCGGCAGATGATATTACGCCAAATGAAGTCTCTGACCTCCTTTTCTCGTACCTGTTTAAATGCTCCTGCTTCTACCCATTTAGTGAAATAATCAGTAAGTACATGTAAAAACTTCACCTGAACTTTTGCTTGTGGTAATGGACCTACGATATCCATTCCCCATTTCATAAAGGGCCACGGAGCTATGACAGGATGCAGTAACTCAGCTGGTCTATGCATATTATTCCCGTACCTTTGACATTTATCACATTTAGACACAAAACTATTTGTTTCCTCTTCCATCTTAGGCCAATAATACCCAGCTCGAATCAATGTTTTTACCAGCGACCTTCCTCCCGCATGATTTCCACAATGTCCTTCTTGTATTTCCCTCATTACGTATTCTGTTTCGGAAGGTCCAAGACACCATGCTAATGGTCCACCGAACATCTTTCAGGTTTCCTTGAAATAAACAGTAACGAGCAGCCTTTTTACGGAGCGAGTGTGCCTTCCTTTTGTCATCAGGTACGGTTTCGTACTGCAGAAAAGCAACTATTTCGTCTCTCCAATCCCATGTTAAATTATTAAAATTTACCTCATTCTTATCAGGCTCGAGAATGGAATGAAATAAATGTACAACTGAAGCATTTGCATCTTTTGCCACGTCTGCTGCAGATGCAAGATTGGCTAAAGCATCTGCCTCTATATTTTCATCTCTTGGTATTTGCATAACTTTCCACGTTTGAAACTGCTTTATTAATTCTCGTACTTTTTCTAAGTACTCTTGCATTCGTGCTTCCCTGGCTGTGTAAGTCCCCAGCATTTGGTTAACAACAAGTTGTGAATCACTCTTGATTATAATCTGGGTTATGCCAAGTTCTCGAGCCAATTCCAAACCTGCAATGACAGCTTCATACTCTGCTTCATTGTTAGTTATCGAATGACACTTTATAGCTTGTCTAATAGTTTCACCCGTGGGTGGTACGAGAACTATTCCTAAACCTGCACCTTTTACGTTAGATGAACTGTCAGTGAATAAAACCCAAGTCCCCGGGTTTGCACCATTAAAAACTTGTAATTCTTTTTCAGCTTCTAATTGCATCCCCTGACTGAAATCAGCTACGAAATCAGCTAATACCTGAGATTTTATAGCAGTCCTAGGTTGATAAGTGATGTCGTACTCACTTAATTCTATAGCCCATTTCGCTAATCTACCTGATAATTCATGTTTATGCAAAATGTTTCGTAATGGAAAAGCAGTAACCACAGCAATGGGATGACATTGAAAGTAAGGTCTTAATTTTCTAGATGCCATAATCAAAGCAAGAGCTAATTTTTCTAGTTACGGGTACCGTGTTTCTGCATCTAGCAAAGACTTGCTTACATAATAGATAGGAGATTGTTTACCTTGATCCTCCCGGACTAAAACAGCACTTACCGCAACTTCTAATACGGCAAGATAGATGAGTAACTTCTCTCCTACCTTTGGTTTCGCCAACAACGGTGGATTTGACAAATATACATTCAGATTCTTAAGTGCTTGCTGACAATCTTCGTTCCTGTTTCTTTAAAGCTGAGAAAAATTTGAAGCATTTTTCTGAAGACTTGGAAATGAATCTCCCCAGAGCTGCAATTCTTCCTGTTAGTCTTTGAACTTCTTTCTTATTGGAAAGTATATCTGGAATTTCTTCAATGGCCTTAATCTGTGCAGGATTCACTTCAATACCACGGTTAGAAACAAGAAAACCTAAAAATTTTCCTGATGCCACACCAAATGCACATTTTTCTGGATTCAACTTCATATTATATTTTCGTAAAATTTTAAACGTATCAGATAGGTGCGATATATGATCTTCTAAATGTTGAGTTTTAACTAGCATATCATCTATATATACTTTCATGGTTTTACCTAAATGTTCTTGAAACATTTGGGTGGCCAACCTTTGATACGTTGCACCTGCATTCTTAAGACCGAAAGGCATTACCTTGTAACAGCAAATCCCCCTGTCTGTTATAAAAGAAGTTTTTTATTCATCACCTGGATCCATCTTGATTTGATTATAGCCTGAATATGCATCTAAAAAACTTAATAGCTCATGCCCTGCAGTAGCATCAATTAACTGGTCTATGTGTGGTAAAGGAAAGGAATCTTTTGGACAGGCTTTATTAAGATCTATGTAATCTACAAAGACTTGCCACTTACCGTTCTTCTTAGGAACCACAACAGTATTAGCTAACCAGTTAGGATATTTTACCTCGCGAATTGAACCAATTTTTAGCAACTTTTGAACTTCCTCTTGAATCACCTTATTTTTGAAAGTTCCTTGCTTTCTTTTCTTTTGCTTGACGGGAGGATATGATGGTTCTTCATTCAACTTATGAGTCATGACTTCCGGTGGTATCCCTGTCATGTCAGAATGGGACCAAGCAAAACAATCTGCATTAGCTTTTAAAAATTCAATCAATTTACGTTTTACCTCCGGGCTAAGATTAGCTCCTATGTACACTTTTCTCCAGGGCCAATGTATAAATAACACCACGGCCTCTAGCTCTTCTATCGTTGTTTTGATGTTTTCGTTCTCCTCCGATTTTTGAATGGTGTCAGGTCTCGAATCCACATCTGTTTGCTTTTGCTTAGGTGAGGCTGACTCTGTGTTACCCTTACCTAAATTGTGTAATTGCTATTTGTCTCGACCATTAACAATTGAATCTCCAACGGAATTGATGCTTCTAGATGTTTGTTGATCGCCTCTGATTTGGCTTATTCCCCATGGAGATGGAAATTTAATAACTTGATGTAGAGTTGACGGGACAACATCCATATCATGAATCCAAGGTCTCCCCATGATTATATTGTAAGCCATTTCCATATCTACTATCTGAAATTTAGTTTCTTTAACAACACCTATAGCAAAAGTTGTTAGAACTACCTCTCCTTTTGTTACTACACTTGAATTGTCGAACCCGGACAAGGTATGCGCCTTCGGTATCATTTGGTCTTCAGCTTGCATTTCACGTAATACCCTTAGTAGTATAATATTTACGGAACTTCCTGGATCAATCAAAACTCGTTTTACATTAGTGTCGTATACAAGTAAAGATATTACCAGTGCGTCGTTGTGGGGGGTTATCACTCCCTCAGTATCTGCATCATCGAAAGAAATACTTTCATTTTCTAAAACATGCCGTACCCGTTTCCCGTGTGTAATCGTTACTTTAGAAACCTTGTTGGAAGCCGTATATGTTACACCATAAATATCTTCTCCCCCACTTATAACATTCACGGTTCTCTTGGGTGATGGGGGTTTTGGTGGCTCTTGCCTATTTTTCATATAGGCTTGCTTACCTTTCTCACTAAATAACTCAGTGAGATACCCTTGTTTCAATAGATGATCCA